GGCAGTGTACTTCGGTCCCTCTGCCTGCTCTGCTCCCCGCTCTGGCTCTGGTGAATTCTCTCACCCTCCCGCGCTTCTGACTGTACCCAGTGCTTGTATAAATAAATAAATAAATCTTTAAAAAAAAATAACTTATGGGGATGACAGCTTTAGATATTTGCTTATAATTAATACAAAATAATTCTTGGATTTTTTTTTAAGGATTGGTTATAATTAATGTAAAATAATTCTTGGATTCTTTGACTTAATGCACTTGGGTTTCTATTTTTTTTTTTTTTTTTTTTAGTTGCTAGGATGGAGTATTAAGAAGTTGTTTTAATGGCATTTACCTGAAGGACTGGGAATTACTATCCCAGATGCCTTTGTGTAGCATCTCTGAGGGAGATGACAGGCAAGCTAGACACAGAATCCATTTTTATTATGCTGGTTGGGTCAAGGACTCCTTTGAGCCTCACTCTGTGCTAGGACATCTGCTGGTCTGGAAGCACAGTTGGGTGTGGCTTTACCTGTATATTTGTCTCAGCGTTGCTTCTTTCATTCTCAGGTCTTTTTTTTGCATAGAAGAATTGGGGTGTAGGCCAGAGATGTGGGGGGTGGTGAGAGGATTCACCAGAGACAGAGTGGGGGAGCAGAAAAGGCAGCTTCACTGAAATACACTGCTGAGAGGAGCAGTGGGTGGACAGGAGCAGTCTGCTGTGCCATATGTGGGTTAGCTCCCTGGCAGGGGATCGATCTCAGGCCCTAGAGGTGATAGTGCTGCAGTCTTAGATCTTAACACTGTCATGCAGAAAATTTCCCCTCCCCTTTACAAACATAGGTATCTCCTAGCACCAATGGAGAGAGGCAAGAGACACAGCAAAAGGCTGTGCATTTTCCCAGGAGTCTGGACCTGAGCTGACTTAAGTCTCAGTTAGGTATTGCATCCCGTGCATGAGACAAACAAAAGGGAGAAAACCCCAAGAACAACGGAAAAGGAATAGTTGGGCCTTTTCCAGGGGTGTCAGTGCTGTCACTAGACTGCAAAGTGGAAGAGGAAGGTGGAAAAGAGCTACACACTCACATCCAATGACAGTTTGATCCCTTGGAAAGATTCACTCTAGAGGACACACCATGGCTGTTGCCTTCAACTTCACCCACTTCACTTTGGAGGTGAAGTATCTATCTCTTGATCACAATTCAACTGTGGAGAATAATGAAAGCTCAGAGATAGGGCATGTTAACTTCCTCTCTGCCCCTTTACCTCCTCAGATTTATTCCTTCACTTTAGTGATATGCATCATGCGCTAACCTGTCTCCAGAGCTCTGCTCTATTAGTGGTCCAGTCCTCAAGTTCTTTGGGCTAAGGTATGGGCACTAACAGCATCCCTTCCTCTGTTCCAGTATGGATACAGTGTTGTCAGCCTTCTGCAAATACAGGTTTAAACCTTCCTTCCTTTCAAGACCCTGTATTTCTTAACTCCCTTTATGGGAAAATTCTGGTTATATGAAAATAAATATGTCAAAACCTTCATGGTATGTTGGAAAAAGCAGCGAAGATGATCTGGCGACTTAAAGTATGACTTCGAGCCCTAATACATTTTACCAATGAAGACAAAGTTCCATCCTGCTTTTTCCCTGGAAATAACTGCTCTTCTAATCTCAATCAACATAGATAAGCTTTCCTTAGAACTTCATGTAAATATGTTCACATAACTGATTTGATATACCTCTTGTTTCTAGTGTCTATCTCAGCAATGGTTTTGAGGAATCCTAACATTGGTTGTGAAATTCAACTGTTCATTCCTTTTTATTGCTAGATAATATTCTATTATGTAAATATACCTTAATTTTTTTATCCATTTTCCTATTGGTGGACATCTGGGTTACTTCTGGATTGCAGCTATTTTTGAATAAAGTCTTAATGAGTCCTTATGTGGGCATGTTTTCATGTTACTTGAATAATACCTAGGAATGGAACTGTTAGGCAATATTGTAAATGTATATTTAAATTTATAACAAAAACTCAGCTGTTTCCCATTAGGAGTGTATTTAAGTTCTGGTCATTCTACATCTTCACTGATATTTGATGCTAGTTTTTTTTCATTGTAAATATTCTTGTTTGCATGCAGTGCTATCTCAATTATGCTAATTTGTATTTTGCTGATGACTACTGATGTTGAACATTTTTCATGTAATTAGCGTATCTTGTGAATGCTCCGAATGTTTTACTTTTTTAAAAAATGGGTATCTTTATTATTGAGTTACAGGAATTACTTACACATTCTGGATGTAAGTTCTTTTTTTTTTTTTTTTTTTTAAAGATTTATTTATTTATTTATTTATTTATGCAAGCACTGGGTACAGTCAGAAGCGTGGGAGGGTGAGAGAACTCACCAGAGCCAGAGCGGGGAGCAGAGCAGGCAGAAAGACCGAAGTACACTGCTGAGGGGAGCAGCGGGCGGCAGGAGAGGTCCGCGCGCCATGCGGGACCCTCCTCCGGTGGCCGGGGAGCAGCCGGGGATCGAACCGGTGCTGCAGAGGCCGCGGGCAGCTTCGCAACCCAGCGCTCAACCGCTGCGCCACCGGGGAGGCCCTGGATATAGGTTCTTTATTAGATATATGTGTCAGATATTTCTTCCTAGTCTTAGGCTGTCTATATTCTTAGTGGTATATTTTGATTTGCAAAATTTTAATTTTTTTGATATATTCTATTTTACCCGTTTTTTAAAAACTTTTAAAAAAATTTATTTATGCATTCAAGAACTGGGGTATGTAGGCCACAGGTATGGGGTGAGAGATTTCACCAGAGACAGCAGGGAACAGAACAGGTGGATCTACTGAAATACACTGCTGAGGGGAACAGCAGGTGAGACAGGAGAGGTCTGCTGTGTCATATGGGTAACTCCTAGCCATGAATTGAACTAATGCCCCAACAGCTGGTGGGGGCTGAGACTTAACCCCCTTGCAGCACCAGGAAGGCCCTCTATTTTACCCATTTTTAAATGATTGGTACTTTGAGTCTGAAGAAATCTTGCCTATTTTCAGAGATCTTCTCTTACATCTTCCTCTGGAAATTTAGTTTTAGCTTTTAAAATTAACTTTTGCATATCTTGGTAAGTAGTTGTCAAGTCCCCACCACGCCAACATAGATACAGTTAACTTTTGTTAACTATAGAAGTATTTACAGGCAAAATAAGCTGATGTCTGTTATTTGCTAAATGCTAAAAAAAAAAATAGTGGGGATAGATAAAACAAGATTGGCAAACTTGATAAATATTGAAGAGAGTGATAGGGATTCATTTTTCTGTACTTTCTTGAGACTTCCTTTTCATAATAAAAATTTTAAACAAGAAAAACATGTATTTTGAACCTGAAGTGAAAGTCCTACCATGAAGAACACTGATTACATGGCTGAGATAGGTCATTTAAAATCATATTAATAGATTTTCCTGGCTTTATCATTGTTGTGAAGAAATATTTTATATCACACTTCATTTTGAATTCTACAGTACATTTCTGATCTCATGCACGATGTATCACAAAATAATCATGAACTCTCCAAAGGAAAAATATCTTCTTGCAGCAAATGCTTACTGAATACTGTTTTGAAGCCCTTTCACCCTATCTGCAGCTCACAGATGCTGCTGATTCATAGCACACACATGCACGATGCATCCATACTTGAAGTTACTGCACATGTCATATTAATTGATTTTCTGTACTATGTGTCATTGGTGATGTGTGCTATCAAACCTTGTCATTTGATAAAGAAATTTTGCCAATAATTCATTCTGCTTTCACTTCCATTCAAGTTTATTAATCTTTAGCTTTGTGCCTTACACCAGTTTTGCCACAAGGAGTACCACTTCAAATGATGCCTCTGTAATTTTGGTTTCTCTCTGCCTTTGGCGGCAAATTTAATTACTTTTGTAGTTTAAGAATTGCATTGCTCTTGTCTAGGAAGACTGGATTGCATTACTGGAAATCACAGTGTACATTATTTGGAAAAGGTACCAAAACTTGGATGGCAGTGCTTGGCACACTTTTCTATCCAGTGGATCATCAGAGAACTAGGAACAAAATGGATAGCAGTTGAGATAAAATCCAGTTTACAATACATGTCAAATTTACTTACCATGCCTCCCCCCTGTCACCATCTGCTTATGTGAAACATTTATCTTTGAAGATTCACTTTTTCTAGAACATTAGGAAGAGCTATCCATGCTGAATGTCCTGTTCACCATTTAGGTTTATAAAATTATTCCTGTTGCATTGCAACTACATTTACATTGGAATCATTTCAGTGAATCAGTGTAATGCTACATAATGGTAACAATAAAAATGCCGAGTTAAATGTAAGCAATAATACTCCCAAAATGTGAAATATGTGTTGTGGTAGTCTGCATCAAACTAAAAATTGATCAAGATCAACCACACCATTAATATGAGGTTGGTAGAGTCAAAATTATAGAACCTAGAAATTTCTGAATTTTAAATTTCTTAAAATCATAATTAACCTTTCATTTCAAAAAATTTGAAATGCATGTGAAAAAAAATGGCCTCTTTTTACTTTTTTGAAATGGCCTAATTACTTTGAGGCCTCATGGTAGACCAACCATGGTTCCATCTATACCATGAAAAGCTTTGCCTTTCAGCAGAGAACATGGGGAAAGTATGTTCACATACATGTTTCCCAATGTTTGGAATCTTTCATCCCTATGAAGCATGCCCGTGGAGGATAATTTTCTCAGTGTAGTTTTGGGAATTCTTGACTCAAAATCACGTGGGGATTTTGTTTAGCAAACACATTCCTACACCCTACCCCAAGTTCCTGAGAAGACTTCCTGGCAGTGATGCCGGCAAACCTGCATTTAAAACCCATTCCCAAGTGAGTGCAGTTGAAGCGCTGCTTCGAGTTTATGCACTGTAGAATAGAACTGCTTGCTTTGCTGGGTTTACATGACACATCATTTTTATAATTTATGATGAGTGTTTTACCTTTCACCTTTTTTTATCCTCAGGGCTGGTAAGTCATGTTCGTAACCTGTTCACAAAAGCTGCCACACTGTGCTTGGATGCCGACAAAACCAACAACGAGACAGCAATCACATTGCTGTTTTCCCTGCTAGATATTTTGCACGGCATGTTGACCTACACATCCAGCGTCGTGCGTGTGGCTCTGCAGGTGAGGCCCCATTTTCCTGTGTCTTGACCACTATGCCATGTCATGCTTCCCATTCACTCTCTTCTTTCTAATCTTTCTGTAATAGGTCTTTATTTTTGAACATGAACTTATAATTGTGTATGAGAGATGTGGAAGCAGAGACATTTATCAATAGCATCCTCAAGACTCAATTATGTGGTGGAGCACAGACTACCAAGTAATTCATGTTGGGGTGATGAATGTCTAAAATGTCAAAGCCTTGAAGGAAATCAGGAGAGGCCTAAGCACAGATGTAGCAAGCACTGGTAGGGAACTGATTCGCTAGATCATTGGCCTTACGTGCATGCTAGTGTTGACCAAGTAGTGTGCAGTCTTTCATGTCCAGAGATGGAGCTCTAGCCCACCTCAACACATGCTAGGAATAGTGGGTTGAGATTTGAGACACACATATACATATATGTGCATGCATGAAGGATAGCACACATGTTTGTGTACACACAGATGTACACCCATATGTAAAACATAAACTCACTTTCTTGGAATTGCAAGATGAGTATTCAGTTGCTATAGAAAAATCAGTTTGTCCCAAACTGTAACCTAGATTTAGTTAGTGTCATGCTCTAAAGAAAGACAGGGATACAGGTTTATTGAGTACTTTCCATATTAGGTGTTTGGTGCTTCAACGTGCCTATTCCTTTAATAATCTCTTTAACCAACTGAGTCAGCTGATACTTAGATCATTTGAAAGCACACAGCCAATATGGATTAATAGTTACATTTACAAGTGTGGTAAAATTGCAGGAGATGTTTATCAAATGGTGGCATCCTGACTTGGATAAATGTAGAAGCTAAAGTTGAAACCAGACTGTTTAGATACCTTGCCAAGAGTCACAGCAGCAGAGCCAAGAATAAATCCCTAGACCCTGGTGTAGTCTCTGTTGTTCATCATTATGATAAATGGCATCTTTTATCCACAGTTAAGCTGGTCCAGTATTTAGTTTGTCTAGTTGTTTAATAAATAAATCCAAGATTCCCTCAACAAACATGATAGTGTTTAACTCAAACTTGTAAAGCCAGTAGACGAAAACAGCCTTTGAACTACCTCGCTGTTTTTATTTGCTCATCTGTTAATAATTCTAAATGAATAGTAAAGCATGCTTAGTAATGATGGAATCCTGAGATCTGGATTTCATCTTAGCTTTTCTTCTCTTTTCTAGCAAGTGTCTCTTTAGAGAACACTGTTTCTTCTTTCAGTTTCCATAGTGGTAGTTTAATGTAATTCTTCAAGATAGAGTTGATAATCATTCCCTCAGGGTGCCTTGATGATATCAATCTGTAAAAGACTTAGGTTTCATATGTTGTAGATAAAAAGGATCAGAAGTTAAAAAATTCCAGAGCAATAGAAATCCTCTTAACAAGTGATTAGGGACGTAATCAATGATGTTTAAAGGGACAGTCCTTAATACAAAATGGTATTTAATTCCTTTTTCATTTTGCTAGTGTACCAATAGATAACTATTTTCTTCTCATTTTCCTTAGCACTGTTGTTTATCTTACAGCTGTCATCTTTCTAAATCCTCCCGTATATCTACTACATATTGCTTTTGGCCTTGACCGCCGACTTTGATCTCCACGATACCCAGTGTCAGTATGAAAGAGGTAGCGTCCTTGAGACTGAATTAGGGGAAAGAGTTGGGAAAAGAAATGGAGTGTGCATCAAAAACACATTCTCCTACAACACTGAGCTGCAAGCACTTTCCAAACCATACTTCACCTCTTCCATTTTTAAACATGCTCCACTCTGGGGAGTCTTTGGCAATCAAAACCTGTGGTTACTAACTGGAAATTCTCTAATGCAGAATTGAGCAATGCCAGTGCTTAAAATGATAATCGTGTTTAGATTTATGAAGCACTTTCCCTCTGTGAGAAGGAGAGTGATAGGATGCAGGAGTGTGTGCTGGGGCGAGTAAGGAGGATGCAGGTGCTCGTATCTCCCTCGGGAGTCTAGTCCCTATCCCCAGTTTTCCCCATGGCTCAGAATTGGCCCCATTTTCACCTGAGTTGTGTGTGAATGATGTGGAAGCAGACTTGTAACATGCTCAGTACTCACTTAGATGACAAGGGCACATGGGCCTTGCAGGCCAGAGTGTCTTGAATTCAAATCCCAGCCTCACCACTTTCCTCCTCTAGGACCTGGGCGTCTTGCTGTACTTGTCTATCCATCTCCTCATCTATAAAGTAGATACAATAATGAGTCCTCTGCAGCGTCATCACAGGACTTCAGTGAGAGGATAAAAGATGTAAATATATACACATATAAATTGCCTTACGTGTCCCTGGTCCTGGGAAGGTCAGGAGAAGGTTAATGTATGATTAGCAGCTCACCCCGCTGTCCTATTTACTCACGTCTTCCTGGATCATGACTTCTTCATTTCTCTCTTGCATACTGAGGCTGCTTGGTTCATATTTTTTTAAAAATTAATTTATTTATATAAGTACTGGGTACAGTCAGAAGCGCGGGAAGGTAGGAGAATTCACCAGAGCCAGAGTGGGGAGCAGAACAGGCAGACTGATGAAATACACTGCTGAGGGGAGCAGCGGGCGTGGCAGGAGAGGTCTGTGCCCCATGTGGGACCCTCCATGTGGGACCCTCGCTGGTGGCCGGGGATCGAACGGGCACTGCAGAGGCTGCAGGCATCTTCTCAGCCCAGCGCTCAACCGCTGCGCCACTGGGGAGGCCCCGCTTGGTTCACATTGACAGAGCACGTTCACTTCTACCAGGCTCATGCGATTTTACTTGTAGTTTCATTTTGCACTCAATGAGCCTGGAGCAAGGTTAGGCACGTGTGATTTCAGCAGGGATCAAGAGAGAAAGGGTGTTGGCTCTTAGGAGAGCTTCTGTTTGGTAGGAAAGACCATTAATATACAAATAGAGGAGGCAAATCATCACCTCATTGCACTGATGGGAGTGCAACAACTGAAAGGTATAGGATGTTGCAGAGGGAATATGGGAGGGGGGAACCTGGCCCAGTTTGGGGGTTAGAGAATACCAATACTCAATATTAAAATCTAGATCACCTGACTTTCCACCCTGGGCCCTGACTATGTCTGAGGTAGTGAGAGAACTTGACACCTTGGTAGTAAGACAATTAAACTGCCATTTATTTTCAGGTGTGCTGGTATTGCTGAAAGAGTGAAATGGGGCCACTGAGTCCTCCTAGTCTTTCACACATGTAAAGGCTACCTGCAGCGGGGGCTGTAGTCTCTAACTTTACTCTCTCTTGAAATTATCAGTTTGACTCTTCTGTGACTTGCCCTCCTTGTTGCTCTCCCCCAGGGTCTACCTTCTGTCTGGTGAATGCAAATACAATTTTTCTGCCATACCCTGTACTCCTCTCCCCTTTCTTTGAAAACCTCAGTGACTTCTCATTGCTTATGATAAAATTTTCTAACTCCTGGTGAGACATTCAAGGCCTGATATGACCCAGCCCCAGGCTGCCTTTCCAGTCCCATCTACCAGTCTTCCATGCTGCCCAGGCCCACGTTAAACAGTTGGCTTGGAATTTTCCAAATGGATCCTGGATCCTATTACTCCCATGCCTTTTCTCATGTGAGTCCTAGCACCTGAAACACTGCTTTCCACATTATTCCCTGTAGACCTCACCTACATGATCCAAATTACAAAGTCAAATGTCTCCTTATCATACAACCATTCAACCCCTACCCCCAACTCTGTTTCTATGTCTGTTATAGAAAGTTTTCATACTCTGCCTTCAGCACAGTTATTGAGAAACTTGTCATTCTCTTAATTAAAGTGTGAGATCCTGCATAATGGGGAATGCATCGCTTCCTCTGTGCATCATGAGTCTGCACATGGTGGTGCTTAGGGAGCACAGTGAGTACTGAATTGAATTGGTCTGGTTCATCCCAGTGCAAGTTGTGCTCCACTGTTAACTTAAACCTTCTGCTTGAGCAATTGGCTGTCCCTTATTTTCCACAAATGCCTTTGTGTTTATTCAACAAACCTCTCGAATACCTAACCCCATGAACTAAATTTGTGTAGCAACACTAGATGAAATAGAGCTGTGTTATCTCTGCCATTTTTTTTTTAATGCCAAGAAGCTAGTTGTATTCCTTTATCTCATTTTGGGTAATGCCATTTAGTATTAAGTATGGTTCATGAATTGACAGTCCCATATTTATCGTTTCACTGATTAAAATTTATTTCTTCTGGGACCCGTAGTTACATATTTAGTTGCTTCTTTACGAGGACCACTAGAATGCCTCACAGTCACCTCAGATTCAGAACATCCAAAGCTGGGTTTTCACATTCAGAATGTCCCCAGATTAACTTCTTACTACCATCTCGTGCAAGCAAGCCTGACATCCTCATCCTGCTGTGCAGACTAGAATCCTTCTAAAAATCCCCCTTTTCTTCATAGTCTATAAGGTAGTTTTTCACCAGAGAATCAGTCTACTCTAGAGGATAACGTGTTAATGTGAATGGATATTCTGTGTTACGTTGGGCTTCAGAGGTGGGAATCAACAGCAAAGGGTCAAAAAGTTTCTGTTCTCTAGGATAGTACTTCACATATGTTTTTGGGGAGAAAATTCTTTTTGATAACCAGTGGGTGAGACTAGATGTGGGGGTGAGGAGGGGAGAGGGAAACTCCATGTACATGATGACCATGTTCCTTTTGGCTATTGAGAGGAACCTGTTGTTAAAAGACAGTTGTCTGATTTTCATTCAACTTCTTCTGAGCCAAACAAAGCAGGGAACTCATTCTGTCCATAGTAGTCTGAAATGCAAAAGGAAATTTGGCATTCATGAGAAAGGCCAGGTTAATGACCCGAAGGAGCGAGGCCTGCAGCTTACTATACAGGCTCTGACAAAGGCCATTACCTGAAAGTTGTCTTGTCTCTTTTGAGTGAAAATAAAGAGCGGGAGTATATGAATGAGATGTGTATATACCATAGCAAACACAATTAATAATCAGTGTCTTTTTTCCCCCAATATAAAATGAGTCATCTCTGAGATAGAAATCTCCCAAGAGGGTCTCCCTGGCGGTGCAAAGGGTTCAGTCTCAGCACTATGAAGATATAGGCAGCCACTGCAGCACAGGTTTGATCCCCAGCCAGGGAGCTAACCCACATATTGGCACAGCAGACCTCTCCTCTCTTGCCCACTTCTCCCCTCAGTAGTGTACTTCAGTAGATCTGCCTGTTCTGTTCCCTACTCTGTCTCTAGTGAATCCTCTCACCCCACACCTCTGGCCTACACCCTAGCTCTTGTGTACATAAATAAATCTTTGGGGAAAAAAAAAAAGAAATCTCCCAAGGGATCAGACCATTCTGTAAAACTCCTGAGAGAAGACACAGTTAAAATGAAAGCCACTCACTTCTCATTCCTTATTCCACTTCAGCTTAAGGCAATCCTTCCCAAGCAGTGTAGACCTGTGTCTGAAGTCATTTGTGCAGTAGTACATTGGGCAAACACTCCAGATGTGATGTAGGCATGTATATGCACTTAGGAAATGAAAGCGTAGCAGAATGCATTTGGGATCCTCATATAATATGCATAAAATGCCCAGGAGAGATGAGGATGTGTAATATGAAGTCACACAATGTGGGTTTGTCCCCTAACTCTGTCACCTGCTATCTGTGAGGGTTTAGACAAGCTGCTTAACTTCTCTGAACATCAGTTTTCTCACCTGACATATGGGGACAACAGCACCGTGTTTCTGGATGACTGAAGAGAGAAAGTGCTGACCCAGTGTAGTGACTCAACCTCACCTCTCCAGCCACACACGGCCCTTGTTACTGCTTTAGCTGGGCTGCTCCGGACTCTGCAGTGGGCATGTGTGCGCTGTGTCCTGCTATAACGGGACCTAACTTCTCTTCGGGAGCTCGAGGGGTAATACTTCCTTGGCCGCCTTCATCTGCTAGACAGTGAAGCTCTCACCTGCGGCCAAGCTGGATCATCTCCACGACGCCCTTGACTTTCTCTTCTCCCTGTTCAAGGCACAGAAGTCTGGCTCAGGAGGGGACACGCAGGCTGCCGAAGACCTGCTGCTGCTCAGCAAACCTCTGACAGACCTCGTGAGCCTGCTCATTCCACTGGTAAGAGCTCACCTGTTGGGTGGCTTTCAACTCATCGCTGTGGTTGGAGTAATTTTAGTAATTTTATGATGTCTTGAGTACCTATGCTACTTTAATTCCTTTTAAAAGTAGAACCAAAAGGAATTTCAGAAGATCATTTGGCATGGAAATACTAAAATTCTGCTTTATTTTTAAACTGGGTGGCTCATTCATTTAAATAGGTATTTAAGTACAATTAAATAGATATTTAATGTCAAATCCTTATTATTTTTTTTTAATTTTTTAATTTTTAATTTTTTTTAGATTTTTTTAACATTTATCATTTTTTTACATTTTTAGACAATATTTGCTTCCCCCAACCCCCTCAAATTGAGTCCCCATAGAATTTCCTTCCCCAAGGCACCCGTGCACCATCACCGCAGTCCCCTGTGCTCCACCCTCCCTCCCCCTCACCCCCTCCCTCCTCTGCCCCTGCAGTATGTCTCTGATTTATAATTGTCTGTTTTTGCTTTGTTGTGATTTGTACTGTTGTTATTTTTTTTTACATTGATGTCTTATTTGGCTCCCCTATATTCCTGCTATAAGTGGAACCATCTGGTATTTTTCTTTTTCCTTCTGGCTTATTTCACTGAGCATAATTCCTTCTAGCTCCATCCATGTTGCTGTGAATGGCATGAGTTTATCTTTTTTGATTGCTGAATAGTATTCCATTGTGTATATGTGCCACATCTTCTTGATCCAGTCATCTATTTTTGGGCATTTGGGTTGTTTCCAGGTTTTACCTATTATAAATAGTGATACAATAAATAAAGGCGCAGACATAGACCCACAACGTGCCTACCGCACCTCCCCAGAAATAGCGTGAAATAGGTAAGACTACATAACAACGCTGAATTTATAAAAATAGCCAAGCTTAGGGTGGACCCATTGTGTAGACATTTGACTCCCAGCAGTGGACAAAGCAGTCAGAGGGTTGGTTGCGAAATTCCACAAAGCTTCTGACACCCTGTCCAGATGTGTGGATCCGAGATCTAGAGGTCCAGCTACCCGGGGAGTGTATCCCTTGTGATCTCCACCCTACCCAGAGGCAGGCAGCTCTTCAGTTGTCTTGAGGCTGCTGGCACTTGTCTTTTTCTGCTCTCTTGCTCAAAGAAAGTAAATGCAGATAGGATGAATAATGCTACAGCCCTCATTGTATTCGGTAAATAAAGGCTTGGTTCAACTGAGTGAGAATGAAAAAGGGCTTTGATTAGTCACTATGGAATAACACTAAATTGTAGCACATCCAGGATAGAGCTGCCACACAAAGTGGCTGTGGACTCACCATGAGGTAAGGGACCAAGCAAAAACCCAGGATGTGGTCCTCATAGAGGAGAAGGATCTTTTTGTATTGATGTTTGCCTGAAATTACAGGAAAATAGCAATGCTTGCTAAGTACTCCAGCTCAGAGAACAGGGTGCAACCTGACAAGCAACTCTCTATAAGGGCAAGAAACTGATGAGGCTCCAGTGAACAGAGAGGAAAGGTTCACAAACCACATACTCTTTAGGAACATACAATGTCTAAGACTCAAAATGGCCTCATTTTGTATAAGTTAATTGATGCAATACATCATACATAGGATAATATTTTTAGCAAATTAGATTAAAAATAGAAAAATATTTTAAGATAGATGAGGAATCCATTATAGGTAAAATTTCTAGGATACTATTTCACCTATATATCTTATACCCCAGGCTTTGGTGTATGCCATCTTCTGAGATTTTTTTAAAACGTGGAATAAATTCCAATTGGATTTATTGATAAATAAATTCTGCTTCTTAATTGTTTTCTATTTTCTTTCTAAATGTTTTCCCATATTAAATATAAGATTTAGTGCAAACAAAACAAACACAAAACCATTAATAGCACAGAGAGAAGAATTCTACAAAGATAAGGAATAAGCCTCACAAAAAGATATAACAACTAGCAACCATTTTATGCCAAATAATTAACATAGGACTTTATAGACATATGGAGGGAAATCCAAAAATATATAGTAATATCAAGGGATTTAAAATATCTTTCTCATTGCTTAACAGACCAAGTGAATAAAAATGATGTAGAATAGGGATTGACAGACTATGGCCTGTGGGTTAACTTTGGCCCACTGCCTCTGTGTGTGTGTGTGTGTGTGTGTGTGTGTGTGTTGAGGTAATGGTGACTTACATGCTTGAGGGTGTAGGTTCACATCTCTGCAGATATAAGTTATCACACTACCTCCACCACCAAAGCACCAATAATCTTCTACCATGGACCATAGGGCGCCCCTCCTTCCTTTGCTCCCCAAGTTGCCCCACGCTTCCCTCCTGGTAGCCTCAGTTCTATAGTCAGATTTCTAGGGATTGGTTTTGTCTGATCCTTTATTTTTTATATCCCACATATGAGTGAAATTATCTTGCATTTCTCATCCTGCCTATTTTTGTAGACAAAGTTTTATTGAATACAGCCACATAGATAATTCATTTCCACATTGCTTCTGGCTGCTTTTACACCTTAACAATAGAGTTGAAGAGTTACAACAGAGACATTAAATAGCCCATAAAGCGATATTATTTACTATCAGACTCTTTACAGAAAAAGTTTGTTGACCACCATATGGAAGATATAAAAACTTTAATAAGATTGAGCTAATAGAAATATATAAATATATATATAAACACACACAAACACATATACCTGATAATAGAAACTATACCTTTTCATTTCAGCTTTCTGTAAACATCTTTAAAAAGTTGACCATGTATTATATTAGAGGAATATCAATAAATTCCCTAGAAACTATATAGACCACATTCTTTAACCACAATACAATTGAACTAGAGGAAAAGATAAAGACAATTGAAGATGCATTGCCCATCTGTCTACTGGGCACTGGTGACAAATACTGTTGATGTGTGCAGTCAGTGAATAAGACTGATTATATCTGGGTCCAGTCAGAAGGCAAAAACCACAGAAGTTTGAACAGAATTTTAATAAAAAAGAATTGCTAGCTATGATAGAAGAGAAAAGAACTCTGCAGGGTACCCGAAAGCTGAGGGGAAGTACCCAAGGAAGGATATACTTGAAAAGGGAGCCCATTCCCCAAGGCAACAGGTCAGACTTTACTGGAGAAGCTGTGACTACAGCCTGCAGAACAGTGGGCAGGTCTGCTGGATTGCGCAGGGTGCCCGTCCACAGTCTCTGAGGAAGCAGAGTGCCCTTCAGAGTGTCGGTACCTGCTGGCCAGTGGGCAGGCATGGGGTACCACTGTGGAGGGGAGGCCTAGAGGCCTGTGTTTGTGTAGGGATGGTGATTGTGGTTCATGGTGAAGGATCCTGGGAGAAAAACCTTCATGAAAGGCAGGCAGGCAGGCTGAAGATTTGGGTGCCAGTGCACAGCATCCACTGGGGATAGTAGTGGGGCAGTGAATGCAGACTGAGTGTTTCTGAGAGTCCACAGATTCTTTGTGCATGGTTAGGTCAGGTCTCCACCAGGTGCCTCTGCAGTCACGCTGCTTTCCCATAATCAGCTGCCAGAGGCAACATGGGACCAGTTATTCCTGCATTGTGTCCTCTGAGAGCTTCTCCTCAGCTCTCCAGGAGCCTGAACTTCTGTTACTAGTAACTTGATCACACTTAGGCTCTATCGCATTGGCCAGACATCTGCCTAATATGTGTGAGCTGTGTTGCGAACATACGCAGTTATCACTGGAATCATAAGGTTTAAAAATGACCTATGACAAGAACATTATAATGTATCTTCTCTGAAAAGACCAACAGACATTTATAGCTGTGTATAAAGTAAAGAAAACAGTAATAAGACCATTGAGGGCCTAAACTAGAGCATATACAGACTAAAGATAAATTTTACAGTGATTGTTAAGAAAATATAATAGGTTCTAGAATGAGGTGCTGGAATTGCGTTCCCATGGGGAAAAATAAACAGACTTTCAGTTTACATTTGACTTGGATAATTTTGGAGGTGTTTTGTCTAAAGGCTGGAGAATAGACTTGTAAACTTTTGAGGTTTTTCCAGATAAGGTCCTAGACAATAAACATACCCTTAAAATATGAAACTTGTCAGCCTATAATATAATATAACCTTTATAATCTACACTGTAGGTGAATCATAGTAAAATGTGGGTGTAAGACCATGATTCTGAGTATGAGGTGTTTAGAAAAATCTGACGATTCTAGACCCTCCTCCCAGATAATTCCTAGACTGACTTATTTGCAAAGTTCTATACACAATTCAGTTTCAAAGGAATCTGTGGACATGCCTTGTAATCACAATATAAAGATAGAACAGGCTGACCATGTATCTTGAAAAAAGTGATAAAGCGTGGTAATTATTGGACCTAAACACTTTTATTCCTCAAGAAGAGAAAATAGGAAAGCAGGCTTTATATTTGAGATGAGATTTGCAGATAGATAATTAGTCACCAATAGTAACTTTTGTGCACCATATATCCAACAAGGGGCTGATATCCAAGCTCTATAAAGAGCGCAGGAAAGTCAACAAAAAGAAAGCAAAGAATTCAATCAAAAAATGGACACAAGAGCTGAATATGTGCTTTTCCAAAGAAGATACACAGATGACCATTGAGCACATGAACAGTGCCTATCACTTATTTTCAGGGAATTGCAAATCAAAACCACAGAGATATCACCTCATACCTGCGAGAACAGCCTGCACCAAGAAGACCAGGAACACGGTTGGTGAGGATGTGGAGAAACAGGAACTATTTTACACTATTGGTAGTAATGTAACTTGGTCCAGCCCCCATGGGAAATAGTATCAAGGTTTCTCAAAGCAGTGAAAATGGACCTACTCTGTGACTCAGCAATTCCAATCTTAGGTGTCTACCTGAAGAATACAAAAACACTAAGTTGAGGGGAAATATGAACTCCTGTGTTCATTGTAGCACTTTTTATAATAGCCAAGCTATGGAAGCAACCTAAGTGCCTCAGAACAGAGGAATAAATTGGGTAGATGTGAGT